ATGGTGACGCAACAGAAGCACTCACAATCGCAGAGGGTGACACTTAAGAGGGTAATAATTACATATCATTATATATGATAATTTGTATATACAAATGATTAACTATGTTATGGATTCTGTTATCTGTGTTACATTTTCCATTCACAGGCCAACAATGAGTATATATACATGTATATGTATATATGCATGTGTATATACACATACTGGTATTATTGCTTGTAAATTTACTCATTTTAATTGTTGAATATCTAATTATGTGTGATAGATTTTGTATTTTAATCCATTGGCGCCGGGTGTCACATACGTACATGCCATGGCTGTTGTGGACCAAACGCCGGGGGCATCATCCCATGCCCATTCCCGCGCTACTGGCTCGTCGGATGGAGGTTGTTTTCCTCCACTAGTAGCGGCTTCATTTATATGGTAAAGATTTTAGGCAATGGCACCTAGAGTGAAGGTAAACCTTCAAAATTTTAATATTTTCATAAATTTTAGAAAAATAAAAGCTTTTAGGTGCTATATGTCACTCGCAAAGTACCGATCAAGCCGGGCGCAAACAGGGGAAACTGCCAGTGCGCGCCAACAAGCCGGCGCATACGTAAACTTGACAAAATTTTTACCCGTCGCTGGTGGCTTAATTATTAGCTCTGTTATGGATTCTGTTATCCTTGTTCTATTTTCCATTCACAGGCCAAAACGAGTATTCTCACCGACCAGGTTCCTTTGGCCCCACTCATGGACGAGGAAGTATTTGGCACAGGAGTCCATATCAAAGAAGAACTCAACGAAGGTGTCACCAAAGAAAATGAGGTGGAAATTAAGGAAGAACTGTATGATCATGCAGATGAAGTGAGTGAAGTGAAAGTGGAGAATGAAATTCTTTCCTTCAGTGATCTTCAAGATCTTGAAAATGAAGCAAATGAAAAAGACTCGTGTGATATTATTGAGGATTGCAATACCTTTTCGAGAGTGCCAATTGTGGCTGAGGAAAATGAGAAAAAATGTTCATCAGAAGAGGATCAGGCAAAATGTAAGAAAAATCATAACAATATTACACACAGAAAAGTGGGTAGGAAATTGAAGTCCTTTGTATGTGAAGTATGTGGCAAAATTTTCCAGAAAATCAGGTATACAGAATCATATGAGGGTACACAAAAAGAGAAGCCATACAGCTGTGAAATTTGCAACAGAGCTTTCTCACAGAATTTGCTCTACTAAGGCATATGAGAGTATACAAAGGAGAAACCATTACAGCTGTGAAATCTGCAGCAAAGCCTTCCCTCTGAATGTAATCTTGCTGTTGCACTCACATACAGAGAGTACAACAAAGGAAAAACCATTTAGCTGTGACATTTTGCTATAAAGACTTCTCACTCAGACACAAATAATCACTTAGTGAGACACAGGAGAGTACATAATAAAAGGAGAAACACATATCTGTGATATTTGCAGAAAAGCTTTTTCTCAGAAAACTCATTTAGTAGTGACACATGAGAGCTACACACAAAGGAGAAACCATATAGTTGTGAGATTTGTAAAAAAATCTTTTTCTCTGGTAAGCACGTGAGACTACATTTCAAAGGAGAAACAATCATAGCTGTGAGATTTTGGTTAAGGCTTTTCTCTGATGAAGGTTCTCTAGTTGTGCACATGAGAGTACATACAAAGGAGAAACCATTTTATCTGTGAGATTTGCAAAGAGCCTTTTCCATGGTAAAGCCACAAAAGAGTACATACACAAGGAGAAACCATATGTCTGCTGACATTTTGCAAAAAAAGGTTTCTGTGAGAAGAGGTTCTCTAGTAGTGCACAATGAGAGTAAACACACAAAGGAGAAGCCATATATCTGTGAGGTTTTTGCAAAAAAAGCTTTCTCTATTAAAAGTTCTTTGGTGAAGCATTTGAGGGTACATACAAAGGAGAAACCATACATCTGTGACATTTGTAAAAAGGCTTTCCCTGTTAAATGGTTCGTGGTAAGGCATTTGACGATACATACAAAGGAGAAACCATATATCTGTGAACATTTTGCAAAAAAAAGCTTCTCGAAGCAAAGAGCATTAGTGAAGCACATAAGAGTACAATACAAAGGAGAAACCATATAGCTGTGACATTGCAAAAAAAGCTTCTCAACAAAAACTTTTCTTAGTGAAGCACATAGAGTACATACAAGGAGAAACCATATAGCTGTGACACTTGACACAAAACAACAAAGGGTTTCTCTGTTAAAACTCTCTCTTTGGTGGCATTTGAGGGTAACATACAAAGGAAAAACCATATAGCTTTGAGATTTACAATAGAGGCTTCACAGATAAATCTAGATTAGAGAGAAAGAGATAAAGTACATACAAAGGAGAAACACATATCTGTAATATTTGCAAAAGCAGCACCACCACATTATACGAGTAAATAAAAAGTCATCTAGTAGTTATAGCACATGAATATACATACTAATACAATAGAAGAGAAATACCATTTAATAAGCTGTTGAGTGAGATTTAGCATAATATTAATCCATATATATATATATAAGGAAGCTTTTCCTACAGGATAGATTATTATCAGCCTTTTACATTGATATTTGAGATATACTACAGGTAAATAGTTACTATATTATATAGTATTACATACAAATTAATAAGGAGAAACCACATTAATTATTCATAGTAGATATTTATATTGCTAATTAATAAAAGCCTAATCCTCTACAGTAAAATGTTACATTTAGTAAAAAAACCCTAAATAAGCATACAATAAATATTATATAGCACACAAAGTGGCCATACATTATAGTAAGGAGGAAAACCACATATCTGATAAATATTATAGCAAAAAGATCTTCATACTAACTCATCGTAAATAAGGTAGTCTACTAGTAGTGCCAACATATGGAGCTAACATATAGACAAGGATTAGAGAAACCATAATAGACTGTGAGAAATTTATAGCATATATATTAGGGTACGTTATCTCAGATATAGATCTATTACTAATTAACGTGGACACATACCACATATACAGAAGTACAACTATCATAAGAAAGGAGAAACCCATGTAGCAGTGAGAGTTTGCAATAAAGATTTTCATCAAGATAAGTATCTTTATTTAGTAGATCACAATGCGTATATAAATGTGGAGACAAAATAGCAGATAAGGATATAAAGTACCATTAATTAGTGTTAGGTGATTCACAGAATAATTATCTATCATAAGAATATTAATTAATGCATAGCACATACAACAAGAGAGTAATATCAAATGAGCAACGAGTGCCTGAGAGATTCTCCAAAGTTAAATATTTATCTTAGTGATTATGTATAGTGAGCATAGACAAAAGTCAATTAGCTTAATTAAGATTATATCATCTTAGAAAGGTAAGACATATTACTTCTTGGTGTATACATAAGGTCAAACAGAAAATAACAATCGTATGAGCTTCTGTAGATATAACACCATATCACACTCCATAGAAGAAACATTTTTGTAGGGCACATGAGAAAATAATGAAGGATTAATGATCTACAAGGAAGCTCCTCTTTGACATCCTATTTTTCGTTAGCAGATTGCCACCTAACACAAGAGTTTGAAAGAGATCTCTCATTTTTTTGATTATGAGTTTTATACTGAGTTTTAGTTTATATGTAGTTTGGTAGTACATGTACTTGTATTTTTGTTTTCATCATAATTTTCACCACTATGTCAAGCAGAGCAGTCATAAACGCAGCGGTTATTTGTTCACAGTCTTTAACGTGAACCGAAAAAAACTAGACTAATTCCTCACTTCTCATACTATTAGCCATCTTACTATGAGAAGGTTCACATTGAACCATATTTATATTCGATGTTATTATATGTAATCTTCTTATTCATATTTTCATTATTGGTACTTTCATGCACAAAGTATATCAAGGCAGACACTCAAATATTCTTTTATCAATTGTGAAATCCTATATAACGTTGATTAAGTTCATAGAATTTTATTATCAATATCAAGAGAGTTATTAATGACGCTTCGAATTTCAATGAAAAGAAGTTTTTTAATATTCACTCATATACAACGATCCAGCTTATTACATACCAAGCAGAAAAACATATCTGTGCCTTAGTGTAATTATATATCCTATATACATACTTTTATTCATATCAATGCAAGTCATTTCATACTTTCTGCTAATCACGCATAAGTAAGCACTAACGCTCAGGAGATCACAATGACATTGTGTTGTTGACACACATTTTTTGAAAACAAACGGACACTAGAATGAAAACTTAATAATCCTCTACTGCAGAGTTGATATTTAAAGTGTTCAACAACCATCACTTTATGCTAGTAACATACCTCGCGAATATAATCTGAATAGCAGATGTGAGAAAGTGATTAAATGCATTGTTTTAATGGTGAAAGATATCCATTCTACAATTCATATCTTCATTCTTATACGCTCTCAAACCCATCGACTACCCACAAACTAGAGTACCTGGTATTTCAATATCTTTATTTAGATTTTGTTGACCAAACCACCCATCAATCACCACAGACGTGGTGTGAAGTATTGGCCATGAGTGAATCTCCAAGCGATAAGCCAATTGACTTCATGTGAGGGAAACATTTATCTTTGTGTCTAAAGTTATTCTGAGAGGGAAAGCAGCATCCAGCAGTCATGTCCTCATATATCCTTTTAAGGACAGGCACACCTTTAAAATTATGATGTAAGGACGAATGACGTGTATACACATCATGAATCAACGAATGGGTGGGCCAACTATACACAGCACACACTATTGCATAAGGATTTTATAGAGAATTCTGGCCCTGTCATGGTAGGGATATATATGTAAATATATATATATATATTATATATATATATATATATATATATATATATATATATATATATACATATATATGGCATAACGTCACACTCAAATATGTGCAAAATAATTTTTGCTCTTTTGTGTGCAAACATGTTGAGAGTGCTTTTTATTTTGTTTAGTTTGTAACTCGGTAGAAAGTGACACACTGGCCAGCCAAGCCGAGTGCAATACTCTAAAACATATTCCATGTATGCCTCAGAATTTTATATTTCAATTACTTATATGTTTTAAATCTATATTCATCCTTATTTCCGAGATAACCCTAATTATAGTTTCATAAAGTTCATGTGGTATAGACCTATTCTTCTAATTTGTATTAATTTATATGAATTATCCGATAACAATCCATTGCAGTTCAGTAATGAATTAATTCATGACATTATATTATTCACAATATAAGAGAAATTATAACATTTATAGAGATTTTGAATATATGAGGCTCAATTGATCATATTAATACAAACACAATGAAGGGAAAAATATATGTAAATATCAAAAATTAAGTAAAAAAATTAAAAATTAAGAACTATCTCATCATTTACCAGTGAATGTCACCATAATATTGACTTCCATATTATGGGGATTAAAAAGGTTTACCAATCATAATATCACAAAACAAAATAATGGAAATGATATGTATTATTTTTACACTAGGTATATGATAAAACCAAGAATCAAAATATAAAAAAAGAGATAGTCTGATATTAATCACAATAATCTGTCATTGAACATAATGTTTATAACTGCGGGCACCCTCCTAAAACTGTTCACAAACACTTGAAGATCAACAATCAAATATACAGATATTATAATTACCTTTTTTGTTTGTTTATTAAAATATATATCTTTTTTATTATGTTGTTGTTATCATATCATTATTATTTTAGATACATACAAGCAACCTATATGAAATTCATCTTTATACTATTATTACTACAATAACACAATACACACATCAACATCCAACACCCCTAACATTATTTTGGTAAAATCTCCACTACGAAATCTTATTCACACTGAACTAACCTAATCACCCAACTTTATCAAAGATAATCCAGAGTGCCATGATCCGTAGCGCATGCATTATCGGGCAACCCTGCATGAGCCAGGGACGGTTCAAATCGTCTGTGGCCCAACAACCACATCTCCGGCAACCAGCCTCTCTTATCCAACGCCATCCACGCTCACGTGCTCACCGTGACTAAGAGACGCCAGGCTCTTCTACATCCATTCCTAACCACTCCAATAAAGAATAAAATCAAAATACCTTTATATCTCGCGCAACACGCCAAACTTTCCGTTCGCTTCTTTCATGTTGTCTGGATGGCCTGGTTCTAAAATCACTTTTTGAGTGCACTTTGGGGCACTTGACCGGTTACACCATACCATAACCGCACGACCACAACACTGCATTTACTTGCGTTACATAGTCACTAACGTCTAGTTTCTTCTAACCATCCACCACACACCCATTCTGAGTACTATAACCACTCTGTGTTTAGGAACAATGACCTGCAGCGCAGCCACCTCAGCAACCTCCGAAAACCTCAGTATGCGTTCATACCCTGAGCGGCGCTTTGTCAGGGAACTTGCCACAGTCGCGCTGCCCCACAATGAAAGTCATTATTTTCTTATTTAACAGAATTAAAGTAAAAAAACCTCCAAAACACATTAATAATTTCGGATAATTAAAAACAAATGCATACAGTACATGAATTAGGAAAATAGATGTTGAAAATGACAAAATTATTGTTTTTACAGTTTTAATGATTGTGTACGTAATGAAGGTTTGTATATTGGGTATTTTATTTAAATAAATAATATGATCAATAAAATAAATATGATAAAATGAATAAACAATATGACAAATGTGGTTAGGCATAGTAATAAAGGGCAACCTAATATCACACCCAGATTGCAGTAATATTGAGTTCATCAACAAGCATCAATTTATTGACTCTTTTACCAACCTTCGTCGATTAACTCGATAACCGCCCCTTGCCGTTGGTCGATCTCAGTCTTCTTTTCTGTCCATGTATCAACACCCTTAATCTTTCGCGACTCCGTTTCCGAAATGCTCGTAGCCCACACACCCACTGAACCAACCGAATGAAAATGTCTCATTATTCACTTCGCCACCGTCAAGGTAATCTTACTTTTAATACTTTCACACCGCTACTGCCTCCATTATTATTATTATTGCTCTAATCCTATTATGATTAATCTCATTATTCTCCACTCCTATTCATACTCCACTTCTTACCCGGAATTCTACTAGTTACTGTTTTATTATTCTTATTTCCATTTTTTCTCCTTGAATAATTCTGACTCGTACACTATATTAGCATCTTACACTTTGAAACGCCCTCTCACATAGCCCCTATAACTTTACTACTTGTTTACAAAACCCATTACACTAGACATGACACATGCACAAAACAATAGCACAACAATAAACAATAGCACAGAATTTACTCACACTCCCGAGCAAAATGTCGCGAACTTAAACTTGAATCTCGACTAAGTCCCTCCTATGCCGTTTTCTCTAGTGATTTTTTCTCTGAGCGTCGGGAACACTCCAGGCGATTCGGATTCACTTACGCGAACGTCGACAAAGACAGAGCCAAGCGAGCGTGCTCGACCTACTCCGCGGTATACTATTTATACACCTGGTTAAGTATATTACCAAGTAAGATTACGTCCACACATACTTTCATTATTCCTAAGTGTTACTTTATTTCTACTCCACTCTGAAAACTCCGACGCAGCAATGCCTGGCAGTACGCGGAAAGAGGCATAATAGGTACACGCCTAGTTACATTTCTATACACACTAATGTAGAGGCTCAATGGAGGGAAGAAGCGTAAAAACTATTGATTATTTTCGAAGCTTTTGTAAGCGTGAGAATGAAAGGATTGTAAGTAAAGAAAAGAAGGAATGCCGAATCTAGAGATAATTAGATACTATGTTAAGAAGCAGAAGAATATAGAACTTGATAATCTGTTAATTATCAGATCACAGTTGGTACAATCACTGTATTAGGTGAGCAATCTTCCTCTTCAATTATTTTTGCAAGGTAGAGTTAGGATTGATTTTTTGTTTGATTATAACTCCTAAACAAAATATTTTGTTTTGTCACAATATGTTTTGAGGAAATTGTTGGCATTACTAGTGAAGAGTGCATTGAAGGTCATATGAGTGCTTGGATTGCAACTCTGGCATATATAAATTAATTTCTTATTTACCTATAGTTTCCAGTGATTCTGTACATAATGAAGGTTTTTTTTTTTTTTTTTTTTTTTTTTTTTTTTTGTCGATTTGTACATTATGATAAATGTTTGAATAGCACCTGAATTACTGCTACTTTTAGATAGAGGTTGTTGCTCCTGTTGGTGCTCCAGCAAAGAAACAGCAATGTTGCATGTTTAACGTGGGAGCTTCTGAAGTTATTCCAATGGAAGAGAGATCTTTTCTATATTTTTCCCATTATCTTATACAATTTCTGTAAGATAAGTGGAGATTTTTTTCTTTTTTTTTTCTTATTTACCAATAGTTTCAATGATTATGTATAATAATGTAGGGTCTGGTATATTGGGTTATTATTGAAATGAGAGAGAGATGGGGGAGAGAAAGAGAGAGCGGAGAGAAAGAGAGAGAAAGAGAGAAGAGGGGGAGAGAAAGAGAGAGAGGCGGGGGGGAAGAAGAGGGAGAGAGAGAAAGAGAGAGAGAGAGGGGGGGAGAGGGAGAGAGAGAAGAAGAAAGAAGAGAAGAGTGGGAGATGAAGGAGAGAGAAGAGAGTGGGGAGAGAGAGAGGGGGGAGATAGGGAGAGAGAAGGGGGTAGGGGAGAGAGAGAGAGAAAAAGGGGGAGAAAGGGGGGAGGAGACCGCAGC